CATTCCGTGCTGCCTTTTGGAATCTTTTGTTCAGCTCTTTAGTATCTTGAATTCTTCCTTGTGCTTTGGCTTCTCTATGCTCCAGTGCAATCTTCAGAGTTTCTTCTGACCTCCATTTTGGTCTTTTCTTCCTCTTCTGTCTTTGTAATGACCGTTGCACTCTTCCTGGATGATACATTTCATATCCTCCCACAACTCATCTGGTCTTTGGTCATTAGTGTTCAAGGCCTCAAACCTGTTCCGGAGATGATTCTGAAATTCAAGTGGGATGAAATCAAAGTCACATTTTGGCTCCTGTGGATTTGGTTTAATTCTAACTTCAGTTTTCTCCAGCCTGCAAAACTAGTTGCTTAGCCTCCAAATTCTCTGTTTCCTGTCTTAAGTCATGTAAAGTAGTTTGATCTCTTTGAGACTGTTTCCCAGTCATATGTAAATTGCATCTTAGCCTGCCTATTTACCAGGAAGAGAACTGTGGCCTTCCAGAATCACTGATACTTATATGTCAACTGTTCTTTACAGATGCAGAAATTACCTTTTTTTAACTAACAAAAGTACATTGTTAAATGAGCTGGAGTCTCACCCTACTATAAAACCCAGTGGCCATTTCCAGATGAGGAGACTGTCTTGGAGGTGACTCACTGTCTCCCAGATCTGTGTAATATAGTGCATTTATGGATATTGTGATCTATTTGTCTTATTGGCAATTCAATACGGAAAGAACTCCTTGTGTTCTGTATCATTTTTGGCAACTCTGCTGGGATCTTTGGAGTCACCTGGTAAGTAAAAATATCTTGTTTTTGCTTGCCAGGGAATTCTGAATCTCACGGACAGGAAGACAGGAGAGCAGGTTTCTCAAACATCTTAAAGGCACCACCGAGAGACCTTTTGTCTCAAAAGACCTTTGAGAAATAAATCTACTCTTGGCATCCTCCATCACCTTTGCAAATCCATGCACTTTATCTGGTAACTGTGTGCTTAGCAAAAATTCTGTGTGTTTTGGACAGCCCTGGAGAATGCATGTGTGTGCGCGTGCCTGTAACGGTTTACCTGGAAAAGTTATACTGATGAGTAAAACGTGTGCTGTATCTGATGAGTGAAAGTTATATTTGATGAGTAATATTTCTGCATGGTTCAAAATTGGGAAGGGCGTACACCAGGGATGCATCCTATCTCCATACCTTTTCAACCTATATGCAGAACAGATTATCCGGGAGGCTGGATTCTATGAGGAGAAATATGGGGTCAAGATTGGTGGACGATTTATCAACAATCTGCGTTATGCGCATGACACAACCCTGCTTGCTGAAACTGAAGAGGACC